AAATTCATTTTAAGCCCAGATTCATGGCGGTAGGAGAGTAATGACAACTCCATTCTAGTGTGAGCGGCCTTCTGACAGGGGTTGAAGGGGAAAGAACCCTCTAGGACAGGGGTCTTCAACATTTTCCAGGCCAAGGAACCCCAAACTGATGGCGAGATGGAGCGGGGACCCCCTAATTATATATTGCTGTGATTTTATGTTCAATTCTATTTCCAGCCAGCTGGGAATTTGTATTTGATACTTTAAGATGTTTATTGCCCTCCCCGGTAGGGGGGGTAAATATCTTATTTAATCAGATATTGTTTCGGCTGTTATATAGTGTTTATGACACACAGTCCTACTAACTGTGTGTTAGAACAATAGATGAAAGAGTGATTCGAGCACTAATCATGGTCAAGCAGTTAATTCTGTACATACATGGAATAAATTCACCACAACTTCTGTTCAACATATAAGAGTTTATCAACAAAAATCATTCAGCTTCAAACCTCTGGTCATCCTGTCGAGAATACTGGTTCCCAATGTCCAAAAAGTATGATCATGGCATATGCCACAACAATATATTGTAATAGTGTTCTATCAAACTGAGTGCACTTTTGTGTGAAGTCTGACTTCATATTTGAGCTCACCCTGTCCCCTACCTCTGGGACGAGGCCATCCATGCCTTTAAAGGAAAAGTCCGGGCAGCAAGGAATAACCAATGGATCATGATCTAGTCCTAAAACTAACATGTTTGCGGTGATTTAATGGATTTAGTTGGATCAGGGACAGATAGACACTAGGCAGTGCTTGAGCAGCTGCCCTTTTCACGCTGAACCAAAATAGTGCTCAAATAATGCTTCCCTTCCTAAAAAAAAAACAGTGTAGCTTTAGAGTGTCGCCCATTCTGGATATAAAAACTTTTACGAAAACCACTAACTTTTATTTATTTTTGCACGACAAACCCCCTCCACCACCGCCACAACCACCCCCCCAACACCTTGAATGGTTTGGATGGTCAATTATTTTATAGATACTAATGTTTCATCCTACTGTGTTCAGGATTTACTAATTTTATTGTGCTTATTAATCTGAAATAGGCTACATATATGATGTTTAAAGTGTGCCCGTAATAAACACTGCTAGGACAGTGAGCGCTATGCACCACACAATGTGGCATTTCTTGGCTTGAGCACCTGCCCCCCCTAAATATCTGCACAGCACTGCCTTGGATCGCCAACTTGAAGAGGGAGGATTTACCATCAAACTTCTGGCCAGAGGAAAAGCGTAATATGTTGCCAATAGTTGGAAGAAGAATGTTTT